TCTTCGCTTGGCTTATCCTGTTTATCTGGCAAAGTAACCTGATAGAGGGGCGCACACTTCCATTGTTCTGAGAAAACAAGCTTGAGACCCTAGTGATGAGTCTCCTGAAGTACCATGCAGGGAATCAGTCCATAAATGGCCCCCTTTCCTACCCTCCTGTCCAGTTTTCCAAGTGGCATGACTGCCTGTCCTGTGCCCATGGGTCCTAATAAAGTGGCCCTTTCTTCATGCCTTTGTTCCCGCAGGGCAGAAGTTGCAGGTTTGAATCTGATTTTATCTGGGTAACAGGGTGAATCAGAACAGTATGGAGGGGGTAGCCTCTTGAAAAGGAGTGCCCAGGGTGTGGTGACAAGGAGGGGGCCTCTTCATGCTCCCAGTTTCTGGCACCCAGATTCGTACCCCCACCTACCACCAGGTATATTGTGGGGAGGGAAGAGACTAGGGCCAGCTCTGACTTGAGTGGGAATCCTAAGTCGGGCTTACTGACTCCTGGACCTGCAACAAGGCGTTTGAGCTCTGAATCTCTTTTTTTCCGATCTGTAAAAGGGAGGTAAGAATACCGGCAACCTCACAGGATTGGCATGAGGGCAAAGGAGTTCGTGGGTGTCAGGCTCTTAGGAGAGTATCTGCCACAGAGAAAGCAGTCAGGATATGTGAGCTTTTAAAAATGGGGCGGGGAGGGGGAAAGGAATAAAAAAACCCTCCTCTGAAGGATAGTGAGGATTTGAGAGACCCACATTTGAGTCATTTGGGCCCGTCGGGAGCTGACACTCAGCAGCTGCTTCTCAGTGGCACGTGCCTGTGGCTTCCATGGGTCCTGCCTGGCTGTTCTTACAGATCTTTTGGGCATCTCTATTAAAACCTAAGAATTAGGGGACCAGCAATTGGTGTAATGGCTATGTTGCTGGACGCTCACGTAGTCGACTGCTGTTCGAGTCCCAGATCTAGTAGCTGAAACTCACGCCAGGCGCATGTGCGTGCGTGCCCAAGATCCCGAGAGGAGAACAGAGGAGAAGGGATTGCGGCATGGCCATTCCCCTGGGGGCTGATTTCTCATTTTCTGTCTCTCTGTCTCTGTCTTTCTGGCAAGCACACGCATCCTATAGCAAAAACTTCTCAAAAACAAAAACAAACAAACAAAAAACCTAATAATTAGGACTTGAACGAATGTATTTTTTCTCTAACTCATTATCTCCTCGGGCAGGAAAGAGGAAGGGAGGAGAAAGCATCTGTTAGTTGTCATTTCCCTAATATTCCCGCTTCATTAAAAACAATAAGCCACTACATAAAAGTCCTCAGGGATTTCCAGAATGCTCTCACTGCCAGCCCAAGTCTGGAAAGTCCTTCCTTACTCCAAGTAGCCAAGCAGCACACCGCAGCTCTGTGGTGTGAGAGGCGATTTCTGTGGGTTATGAATCTCGGATAGCTGCTGCCTATACTGAACCCTGGCCCGGCGGGTTTTGTAATGTTTTGGGTTTGCAGATTGAGCCCATAGGGTTTGAGGATGGTCCACTCGTAATTGCATACTCACGGAGCATTTGGGAAGCATCTCCTGAGTGTCAGAAGGCTTCGGAAGAAGCGTCTTTCTGGATTACCTGCCTTGCTTTTCTGGCTCCTTCCTCCCGAGGGCCCCAGCCCTCCTGAGACCAGAGTAGCGTTTCTCCGTCCTTCTTTGGCTCATCACACCCTAGCTGTGCATTCACACACTTAGAGAATATGTAGAGTGCCTCCTGTGTACCAGGTGGTGGAGGTAGAGCAGAAAATCAGAAAGACACAGTCCCTGACTTGGTGGAGTTTCTATGCCTAGAGTTTAGAATCACTTTTTTTTTTTTTAAGTTTTTTTTTGCTATAGTATACATGTGCTTGCCAGAGAGAGACAGTGAGAGGAAAAGTGAGAAATCAACCCCCGGGGAGATAGCCACCCTGCAGTCCCTTCGCCTTCACTCTCCTTCTGGGATTTTTGGGTACTCACATGTGCCTGGTGAGATTTTTTTCAAGCTGCCAGGTCTGGGACTCAAACCACGGATGGCCATGTGGGAATGCAGTGCCTTTACCACCATGCCACCTGCTGGTCCCTAGAATCACATTTTTTAGAGAAACCTCTGCCTTCCCTTACCAGGACGGATCCTACTGAGAAGACCTTGGGGTACTTGTGCTTCTTCTTTAGCTGCATGGTTGTGGCTTCCGTCTGGGTGATGATTAGTTTGGGTTCCATGATCAGCTGTGAGCACCAGGAGGCCAGGAACCACGCACTTGATCAGTGTTGAATGACTGAGCCAGCAAACGTCGCCTATGTGTCCACCAAAGGCCCTGGCTCAGCAGGCTTTGGCTGGCTAGGGTTGTGGACATCTGACCCCATGCCTCCACTTCTCCCATCTCCCACAGAGATCTCCAACCTGCTGGTGGCTACTAAGAAAGCCCAGGAGTGGCAGCCCGTCTACCCTATGAGCCAGCTGAGTTTCGACCGGATCCTCAAGAAAGATATCATGCAGGTGAGTCATTGCTTCGGTCCTGGGCCCACCTTGGTCTTTTCTCCTCGCTGGGGCAGCCTGGCGGATGGTGGGGAGCGAAGCCTGTGTCTGGGAAAACCCCAGTGGGGAAAGAACAAGGGCTTTCCTTCCGCAGTCAGTGCAGTACAGCCAGTGCCCCTCTATCCCACCTTGCTGATGTTCTTCACTTGCTTTTCCTGATCGAGGTGGAGGTTGGACTTCGTGGGTTCCCTAGGGGTGAGGGGACTATCCTTGTGAGGAAGCACTGATGTGGGCTGTCCCCCCTCATGTCCCCACCATGTGCCTAGTGACAGTGCTTCTGGAGCTCCTGCCAGAGCTTCCTGGTGATGCTTCCAAGCAGTGCAGAGAGCACAGGGAGGGGCAGGAGGACATGCACAGGTCAGGCGTGACACAGAGAAACGTTCCTCAGAAGCAGATCCCTCTCAAGGGCTTAGACCAGGGTCCTAGCCTTCAGAGGGCCTTTTGCCCAGAATCTCCAGTCTTAGCAGACCCAGAATTGGCTAGGAATGTGAAGCTCAGGGCACGCCCCACTTTCTATTTCTCTACCCTCCTTACCTAGAGCCTCACATGGCGGGGTGGGGCCATCAAAAGAGCCAACCTGCCCACAGCCTCAGAGAGGAGTCTTACACCTTGGCGGGACTGCAGCCTGGGGAAGCTGGCGGGCATGAGGCTTATTATCAGTTTACTTTTTTCACGAATCCCTGACACTGCTGGGCGGGGTTTGGAAGGAATAGAACTCATGGCTGTAACTGTCTCACTTCCGTTATGGTAAATGTCTTCGCCGAAGCCCGTTCTTACTGTTCCTGCCCCTCCAGTGTGTCAGTGCAAACATCCTGAGATTAGCATCATCAGAGCTGCAACTTCTCTCTGGGCCTGCCTTCTGTCCCTCCCTCGAGCGTCTGAGCAGTTAGCCACTCTCCTCCATGCTGTCTGCATCCGCTCAGCCAACAGCAACTGGGCCTTTACCCGGGCCAGCACCATGACCACCCTCAGCCGGCTCCCAGCCCTGTGCCAGAGGCAGACGCTGGTTTGTGTAACTAAGTACGGTGATGATGCTATCTTGGGAGGTGCCCCAGGACCCAGCCTGGAGAGGACGGGGCGGCTTCCTGGGGCATGTGCCTCATGGTGGTCCCAGAAGAGAACAGCAAGTTCTGGGCCAAGGCAGCGTGTGCAGCAGGGAGGGAGGCTGAAGTGGGCCAGCGGGGCCTTTGCAGGTTGTGTGGAACCTGACAGCAGGGGACCGTGACCCAGCCACTGGGTGAGTTGTTCTTCTGGGGAAGAGCCACCGTTCTGAAAGCAGTGTCTTCCCAGGCGTGCGTGGGGGCACAACCCTCGTACCCTTGATGGATCGCTTCGTGACAGCTGCAGCTTAATGAATAGGTGCCGGTCCTTGCCAGGATGTAGCAGGCAGGCAACGGATGGCCACTCTGCTGTGACAGATGACAAATGGTGGTATTTGCACAGATTACTATACCTGATTAACGGGCGTACATGGGGGGTCAGGGCTGGTTGCCTGGGTATAGGCCACAGTCCATTTTCTGCGTCTACAGGGAAGTCCTAGAATAGTCAGCCTTCAGGTTACAAGTTTTGTGGGATATCAACGGCTTGACAGCGCATGTTTCATGAAGCACGTTTTGTTTTCCAACTATTAAGAATGTTAAGATCAGGGCCAGCTAAGGGTGGTTAAAGTGCTGGATTCCCACGTGGCCAGCTACAGTTCGAGTCCCACACCTGGCGGCTTCCTTTCTCTCTTTCTCTCTAATCTCTTTCTGGTGAGTACATGTGCCCTGTAGCAAATTTTAAAAATAATAATAATAATAAGTAAATTTAAATATTTTTTTAAAAAAATAAAAGAGTTTTGGAGCCTGCAGGTTGCGTGGTGGTTAAGGTGCTAGAATTTCCACATGGCCCACTGCGATTTGAGTCCCAGACCTAGTGGCTTCCTTTCTCTCTCTCTCTCTTTTTCTCTCTCTCTCTCTCTGGCAAAACTCATGTGATGATGATAATAATGATAATAAATTAAATAAATCTTTAAAAAAAAGAATTTTAAGGTCAGAGTCATTGAAGCTCAAGCCTGGAGGGCCCTTCGAGACAGTTCGTTCCGTGCTCAGGCTTGGCAGATGATCCTTTCTAGTCCACCTGCCCCTTGTCTGGTGGCGGCGTCCCCTCACTGTGAGGGCCTAACCACTCTAGGCTGTGCCTCCATCTTCACTTCCGGGAGAGTATCGGGGCAGACGCAGGTGACATTGGCATCACTCAGTTAAAGCTTAGCATGCACACACGTGTGCGCATATACACTGCATGGATGGATGGGAATGAGGAGTTCTAGTGTGAGAAATGGTGGCCCACTGGCCCGGAGGCTTTCAAACAGAGCATGTAGGCCCAGCAGACAAGTTTCTGCCCACCATGAGCCAGTCTATGCAGGAGTACTTTTTTTTTTTTTTTTTTTTTTTTTTTTTTTGCCATAGGACACATGCACTCATTGGAGAAAAACAGACAGTGAGAGAGAAAATGAGAAATCACCCCCTGAGGGGGTGGCCACTCCCCCAGTCCATTTTCATCAGGATTTTGGCTATGCTCCTCCTGGGATCCTAGGCACGCATACACATGCTCCCAGGGGGATTTTTAAGCCACTGGGTCCAGGACTTGAACCAGGGCCAGACATGTGGAAGTCCAGCAACATAACCACTACCCCATCTGCTGGCCCCTATGTCAAATCTTAATCGATTGTTACAGCAGTCCTAGGGCATAGGTACCATGCTGCCTCCATTTCAGGAAAGTGGGCAGAGACTGAGCACGGTGAGGGATGGCTCCAAGGGAGGATGCCACAGGAGACCCAGGGTTTCGGAGCCCCTCCCCCTGATCTCTGGGCAGGGCTCCTCCCTGAGTCCCTGCTGGAGGCCCGGCGGCACTGATGTGCTGGCTGCTGATGGCACTTCAGCAGTTTTCTCAGTTTTTATTCATTTTTTTTTTTGGAGAGATTTTTGCTATAGGGCGCGTGCACTCGCCAGACAGACAGAGACAGACATTAGAGACAGAAAGCGAGAAATCACCCCCCAGGGCGGATGGTCACGCCGCAATCCCTTCTCCTCCATTCTCCTCTCGGGATCTTGGGCACGCACGCACACGCGCCCGGCGTGAGTTTAAGCCACCAGGTCCGGGATGCGAACTGCAGTCGACTACGTGGGAGTCCAGTGACATAGCCATTACGCTAACTGCTGGTTCCCATGGCAGCAGTTTTCTGACGGATCAAGATTGTGTTTTGGCCACAGGCTGTTCCCGAGGGTCGACAGCAAGGAGCTGTTTAGAGAGCGTGAGGACAGGACAGTCTCCTGGGACCCACTGCTGTGCTGACCAAGTGGGTTTTCATACCCCCAAGGCAGACACTGGCAGCTGCGAGCTGCAGGGGCTTGTCTGTCCTTGTGCCATCTGTCACTCTGTCCCCCTGAGGCTTCAGCCCTCTGCTCTCTCCTCAGGGCGAGCACCTTGGGAGAGGCACGAGGACACACATCTACTCAGGGACCCTGGTGGATTACAAGGATGACGAAGGGACTTCTGAAGAGAAGAGAATAAAAGTGATCCTCAAAGTCCTAGACCCCAGCCACAGGGACATCTCTCTGGCAAGTGCTTTGCTCCCCACCTCCTCACCTCCACCACCCCCCTTTCTGGAACCAGTGGGCCCTGTGTTGGATTGGGAAGAACCTCTGCCTTTATTTTGGCCCAGTGGTTTTCAAAACTGCTTTTTGCTCAGAATTCCTTTCTTCAGATGCAGCGAAAGAGACCTGGATATAAAACACCGGCAAGGAAGGCTGGGTTGAGCAGCACGCCCTGCTCTCGGCCCTCCCGCTCCCATCCACCCCTCTCATTTCCTGACTGAAGCCCCCACAGTGATGCCGTGGGGCAGGCCTGAGCCCAGGACTAGAGCCAAAGGGTCTCAGAGCCCCCCTTACCAGGATCTCACGGGCCATAGCTAACACCAGATCTCGAGCAGAGAGCAGCTGCCTTCGTCTCCTTTTTATTCGAATACAGTGCTGAACATTGTTGCTTCCAAAAGTTTAAAGGAAGAGAAGGGGGCGGGCCTGAGCATCCAGTGGGAAAATTGACAGCTAGCTTTCCCAGGCTGCCTTGCTCTGCAGCCTGGGGGCTTCTAAGTACCTCCCACATCCCGGCCACATGGCCCAGAGGTAAGAGCCCGGCAGTGCCTCTGGACAGCCCGGCCAGGAGAATGGTCTTTAGGATCTGGCCAGGAGGTGGTGGTGTCCATGGACTGTCCCCCTAGTAGGGCCCCTTGGGGTCAGAGCCACGGAGGCTGACCATAGGCGTTCCTTTGTCCTGCTCTCCCACAGGCCTTCTTCGAGGCGGCCAGCATGATGAGACAGGTGTCCCACAAGCACATCGTGTACCTCTATGGCGTCTGTGTCCGTGACGTGGAGAGTAAGTGTGTGCCCTACTGAAGGGGTGTTGGCTGGGTAGGGAGCCTGCGTGCTGTGGGGACAGTCGGGGCTGTGCCACTTCCTGTGGCCAGGCTTCCTGCCTCGCTCTGTGCAGTCAGCAAATCCAGGTACTGAACAAGTCATTTGCTAAGGTTAGTAGCGGGCATGGCATAAAACCACTGGTTTCACCTCGTTTCTGTAATGTTCCTTTCTTGGGCCCTACACTATACTAGGCCCAGGAGGCTGAGGTGAGTAAGATGAGGTTGGCATCACCCTGAAGTCAGAGAAGGGCCCCAGACAGGGTAGAGCTGGAGACTGTGCCCCTGAGCGGCGTGGAGCTGGCCTACCTGGCAGGTGGCCTGCCCAGGGGGTGCCCTACTCCAGTTGGTCTTCTTGTTGAGCACCTGCAGGCTCTGGCCTCAGCTTGTCAGGCTGCCAAGGGAGGGGGCCTTTGGGCCACTGCTGCTCACCCACCTTTGGGCTGAAGCTGCTGGAACTGAGATGGGTAGTATTGGCCTCTGAGTTCCTGACATACAAATTTGGAAGAAGGGAAACTTATTGTTTAAACCCCAAGTGATTTATTCTCTATGAAATCCTTGGATACGACTATAACGTGTGCTCACATGGGAACCCTGTTGAGAAGGGAGCCTTGTCACTCAGTGGCCTGTCCTCTGCTGTAGCGTGTGGGAAGGACGGCAGAGGTGACAGTGGCTGCTCTCTGAGCCCCTGTCAAGGTCAGTCTAAACTGAAGCTTTCACATCAGCCCTCCCTAGTCCCTGGGAGGGGCAATATGGCTGTCTCCTTCTTCACAGATGTGGGAGCAGAGAGGCTGTCACTTGTGCAAGGCCCCCCAGGTTAAGAGACAGGGTCACACCCAGGGGAGAGGCCCTGCCATTTGACCTCCAGAATATTTGTGTCCTCCAGAGCTGAGCCACACGGGTGGGCTCCTGTGAGGGGACGCGGGGAGTTCTGTCCCAGACACGGTCTCACATGTTTCTGTGCCTGTAGATATCATGGTTGAAGAGTTTGTGGAGGGGGGACCCCTGGATCTCTTCATGCACCGGAAGAGTGATGTCCTCACCACGCCCTGGAAGTTCAAAGTTGCCAAGCAGCTGGCCAGTGCCCTGAGCTACTTGGTAAGGATGTTGTGCTGTGTGCGATGGTCACTGCATGTCCCGGCAGGGGTGGCAGGAGCAGGCACAGGTGAGCAGACAGGGGCCAGGACTCTGGGGCTGAACGCAGGTGACTGATGCTCAGTGAGAAAGGGTGTCTAGAGCTGTTTCGTGCCCACACAGGAATCCTCAAGGAGCATGTTCTTTGGCGGTGCACCGACTGCTTGGCAGCGGTGACAGGAGTAGACGCCGTTCCACACCTTCCTGTGCAGGGGTGACACTACACACAGCCACAGCAGCTAGCATTTACTGAGTGTTCCCCGTGACTCTGCCATTCAGTGTTCTACAGCGTCTACCCAGTCAGATCCTCGCAAAGCCCTATGGGGTGTGCTCCCCTCTGACCCTCTGCATTGATGAGGGTGTGGAGCTGAGGGACAGCCTACGAGGTTCCTGAGTCACACAGGTGGCAGTGGGAGGTCCGGGCTGCCAGGTATGGCTGTAGTGGGCAGTAGGGAGAGATGTTCTGAGGGGCCAGGGCTGCAGATGAAGGAGGAGAGGGAGGGGAGTCGGCAGCCTGAAGGCAATCCAACTGGGCTCACCCTTTGACTCTGCAGGAGGACAAAGACCTGGTCCATGGAAACGTGTGCACCAAAAACCTTCTCCTGGCCCGCGAGGGCATCGACAGTGAGTTCGGCCCCTTCATCAAGCTCAGCGATCCCGGCATCCCCATCACTGTGCTGACCAGGCAAGGTGTGTCTCCCACCCAGCCCCTTCCTGGGCTGGGGGTCAGGCCAGCAGGGAAGATGGAGCTGGGTTGGGCTTGGGGTCACTGTTCAGCGAGTGCAGGTCATCCAGGAGGTACACGTGCTCCCATGGTGTGCCCTGGACAGAGCGGGTGTGGAGCCAAGGGTGAGCTGGCCATGTTCTGGAGGAGCTGAGAAACAGACAGCTCACCTGGGGCCTCTCTGGTCCTGGCAGCAAAGGAACTTGTTCAAGGTGGTGGGATGGCACAGAGGGGACCATGGGGCCCACTGGTGGTCGGAGAGGGCACGGGGCAGGGAATCGGGCCTCCTGGGTCCTTTGGAAATCCACTGCAGTCAGTGAGCAGTTGGGGAGGCGCACACCCCCTTCATTGGACTGTCCACTCTGGTCCAGCATCCTCTGAATCAGGTTATGGTGACTTGTATTCTTCAAAGGAGAGTGCTGGCTAGCCCCACTCAGGTGCTCTCTGCCTCTCGGCATTGTAGGCCAGCGGAGCAGCAGCCTGCCCCCGGGCCTGGGGCCAGCAGCCAGTCACAATCCCTGTGTCTTCACCATCTCCGTGAGTTTTGATCAGTAGTTCAGTAATTCGAGAAATGGACCAAGTTTGGAAAGGAACGAGGATGAAAAATAAGCCTTGCAAATAGGACCCCGATCATACACTCCTTGGAAGAGGAATGAGAAGCATCCTCAGTATCTGTTTGACCTTTACCATCTGACCTTCATCCAGCAATCAAGAGGCAGAAGACACCCCCAAATCTATCAGGGATCTTGTCCTCAGTGAGGGTCTGAGACACAGACACAGGTGGCTCTAGAACAAAAGAGGCCTGAGGCTCTCGAGAGCTGCCAGTAACATGGTGTGGGGACTCTAAGGCGACACCTGGTCCTGCTAGAGGCAGGCAGACAGTGACGGGGAGGCAGCAGGATTTCATCTGGGCCTCCCAGCCCCATAGGATGTGGCTACAGCAAGTGACCAAGGGCACATCCTCCCAGGGCACTGCCCGCACTCACCTATGGCAGGAAGAGGGAGGCGGGAGGGCCAGTGGGCTGATCGTAAGTGCCCGGCAAGGGTCCAGCCCTGCCTCTGCCCCCCCTCAGGAGCCCGAGGCCACTCTGCGGAGGCCTCTGCTTGCCCAGAGTCATGCGCAGCATACCTGACCCGCGTTTCTGCCAGCATTGCTAACTCTGGCCTTGGTTAGAAAAGGTAGCAAAGTCAAGGACTCTGTAATCTCATTACCTCAGCATTTCCTTCCTGTTCTTTCCTCAAATGGAAGAAAACTGACATTAAACTCACGTAGCTCTGCAGAGGGATGTGCAGGGTGCGTGCAAGCAGCCTGTGCCTTCCTCTGCCTGTGTGACCTCTTCCCCTCCCCACACGAACCTCCACTCTCCCCCTGCCCCTGGGTGATGGGCCCCATCCCAGGGTGCTTTGCCATTTCCAAGGCCATGGCTTCAGAAGCCCAGCTGCACACAGCCTCCCTGGGGAGCTCGTGGGCCATGGACCTCTCTGCAGCCCTGACTCCTTCCAGTGTGTTGGAAGTTCCGGGACAAGGCCAGGCTCCCAGGGCCTCCTCCGGCCTTGGTCCACATTTGAACAACTCTGCTCGCAGGGCCTGTATGGGCACACATCTTCTGCAGTGACAGTGAGATGACCCGGTGACCCCCAAAACCCATCTGTTACTGTGTCTGTCATCTTTGTCCAGAGTGCATCGAGCGGATCCCATGGATTGCCCCTGAGTGTGTGGAGGACTCCAAGAACCTGAGCGTGGCTGCGGACAAGTGGAGCTTCGGGACCACACTCTGGGAAATCTGCTACAACGGCGAGATCCCGCTGAAGGATAAGACGCTGATTGAGGTGAGCGGGGCTTTCCCAGGCCTGAGCTGGGTGAGGACTCTCGGGACTCAGAGGCCTCAGAGAGCTGTCAGGAAAGAGATGGGCAAGGATCTGAATTCTCTCCACAGGCTGGCTCTGTGACCTTGCAAATGTGACCTAACCTGCCTGAGCCCAAGTTTCATCGTCTGTAAACTGGGAATGAGAAACAACTTTGAGTTGTTGTGAAGATAAACAGCATACAGTGTATGCTCAGTAGACAGTTATGGTTTATCTGAGATTTTAAGTTCTATTATTGAGCAAGAGTCACATACAAATAAATATTTATTGAGTTCCTGCTTTGTATCAGGCACTGTCCTATACAAAGCCGAGGGCTACAGGCCTTCCCTTCCCTTGAGGATCTTAAGAGTGTGGTGGTGGTGGGGGGGGGCGGGGGTCAGGCAAAAATAATAGCATGGATTGCACAAATAAGCCCTGACAGTGCCCCGCTAAGAGCCACATTCTTAGGAAGGACAGTGTTATTGCCCTGATTGTACAGATCAGGTGACTGAGACGCAGGCAGTCCCAGACTCACATGGGTTCCTCAGCCAGACTCCAAAGTAGACAAGGTTTGAGCCTCTTACAGATTTGCTTGTGGAAAAAGTAAAGATTAATGCCAAAGGAGTAAGTAAAAATAATAATAAGGGACGACCGACGCGCCAGTTCGGTGACTCAGTTATTGGAATTGCTTTGCGTGTCTAGAGAAGGCAGGCATCGCTTTCAGCTGGGAGGGACTGGCCAAAGTCCAAGGGGAGGTGACACTGCAGTTGTACGTGGGGAGTGAAGAGTGGTAGTTCACCTGCCCTGTGCATCTGGAGCATGGAGGGGAGTAGCAGGGCACTAAGTGGGAAGGGCCTTTGGCGTCACATTGCCAACAGCCTCGATTTCCAGGCCATGGAGCCTGCGCTTCACTAGGAGTGATGGGAGGCAGTGAAGGGATTAGGCGAGGTGAAGGCCAGGTCTGGGACAGTTAACTGGATGCAGTGGCTGGGTTGGACAGGCTGAAGGGAGACCAGCAGGGGGACTGGCACTCTGAGGCTCACAGGGCTGAGGGCTCAAGCTCAGGAAATGGCAGTGGGAGTCCAGAGGGAAGGTGTGTGGGGGAGATAATGAAGAGGTAGATCCTTTGAGATTGCCAAGTAGAGATGGTGCAGGACTTTGGAAGAGGATTTGAGCTAAAACCCGCAGGGAAACCCTCCAATCTGCAAATCTGCCACTTGGAATTTTCACTCTAGCTTTGGGGAACTCATTTTATTTTTAGCTTCCCTGGAAATGTACCCCATGTTGTCAGTCAGTCTTTATCGAGCAGTGGCTGTATGAGCCCAGGGCTGAGCAGCATACAAAGATGGTAGAGGAAGGGTCCTGGTCTTTAATAAATAGGGCCTCTCTCCTCAGGCTCTTCCAGGCCAGGCCACCTTTCTGCTGGCTGCACTGCAGCATGAGGGGAGATTGGAGGCAAGGGCAGCTCTAGCTCCTTAATTCCAATCCTCCTTCCTCCCTATCCTTTGGTTCTGCCCCATCCCACCCCACCCTGAACTCACAGGGACCAAAGAGAAGGTAGTACCCGTGGGGTCCGGCTAGAGTAAACACTGGAGTGCAGTGAATTCAATTCATCTTTTAAAGTGGCACCAATGATTTGTTTCTCATTTTAAAGTAATTAATGAAGAAAATTTGGAAAATACAGAAAAGTATTCAAAAAAGGAAATAGCAATCACCTCATTTTTGCCATCTCCGATCACTATTAATACTTTGGTATGTTGTCTTTCAGTCTGTCTGTATCTCTTTTTTAAAACAAAATTTGGATCATGCTAGATATGGTTACAGATCCTGAATTTCCTCACCTAGTATTGTACTTTCCGAAAAGATTAAGTCTTACGTTTACAAATGTAAATGTTGTTTTATTTAACTCTAGTTTACTTCATGTTTGACATTTTGACTGTTTTTAGATTGCCAATGTTTTATCTCAGTCTGTAGGGAATATCTTTGAACATAAGTTTTTATTCCTTTCTTTATTTTGGAGTCATTCAATAATTGGAATTAATGAGTCAGAGGCTTCCAGAGAATCTGAAGGTTTTTATATACGTGTCGCCACATCATATTCCAGAAAGGTTATGCAACTTCCTGGAATGCAGCTGTTCAGGACTGGGATACACTGCCCTCTCCTTGAATTCAGATTATTTTAGTATAAATGTTGAGGTCTACCATTGCTGGAATAAACAGTAACTAATACACGCTTATGAGCTCTACCTTTAAGCAGAAATGGTGAGAATTCATTTAAGGATGGCTAATTCCCTTCGCCTGGGGCTCAAAGGTTTAATAGGTGGCTCCTTCGGAGTTCTTCCATGTGTCCCTCTTCTTTCAGAAAGAGAGATTCTATGAAAGTCGGTGCAGGCCAGTGACACCATCTTGCAAGGAGCTGGCTGACCTCATGACCCGCTGCATGAACTATGACCCTAACCAGAGACCCTTCTTCCGCGCCATCATGAGAGACATTAACAAGCTGGAAGAGCAGAGTAAGATGTGTCCTGTGCTGTTTTAACCAGGATCACCAGAGGCCTTGGACAGTGGGTGGGAGTGGGGTGGGCATGATTAAGAGCCCATGAGTGGCAGTCCCTGGGAACCACTTGCTATTTTATCTGTGTTCTTTTCTCTTCCATTAGATCCAGACATAGTTTCGGAAAAAAAACCAGCAACTGAGGTGGATCCCACACATTTTGAAAAGCGCTTCCTCAAGAGGATCCGTGATTTGGGGGAGGCAAGTTCTGCCTGGGGTCCTGGTTGCTGACAGCTGAACCTCTGCTTCTTGTGTCACCTCTCTGCATACACAGCTGCTCTCCGCGCTTTCTCATCTTGGGTTGAAGTTTACAAGACAAATTACTTGACTGCCTCTTGAGGGGGCCACTTTTATCACAAGGGATTGAGTCACCATTTGACACATATGGTGACAGAATGCATATCCCTGCCTGTCCATGTGACTGTGTATTCACATGTGTGACTGTACACTCACATGGGACATTAGTCAGCCCCCTCTGAGCCTTGATTTTTCTTTTTCACAGGACATAAGATAATGGAAAGAGAGAGCGATAGAGGGGATAGGTTAGATACGATGGAAAGAAAAAACCCAATACTGACTTTCCTGGGCTCATCCATCTCCTGTAAGGCCCCCACATGAGAGGCCTCCTGCACAGAAGGCCCAGATGGAGCATCAGCTTTCCCTCTGGACCTCGGTGGGAGCTTGCAAGCAGTTAATAAGACCAAAGAAGGTGCTGGTCTTCATACCGATTTTCTGTAGTTAGGCTAATTAGGTAAAGGCTGAATCATGTCTTGGTATCTGCCATGTACCAGCCTCGGGCCAGGCATTTTCACCATCACAGTATCCTTCATACCTCACAACTCCCTGAGAGGCTTTTTCCTGTTGTGCACAGTGAGCACATCGGGACCAGCCTGGGAAGTCTGGTGGCCCTGCCAGCCAGCATCACTGTCGAGTGGCTTAGCTGGGATCTGATCCCACGTCTTCAGGAGCTTCTTATGCAGATGCTCATTTCAACCACACTGTAGTGCCTGTCCTATAGCATGGGTCCAGGGCTTGCAGAGAACACCGCAGTGCTCCAGTGGATCCAGAGAAACCTTCATTCCCCCGTGGGCTATGTCTTCCTGGAGACTGAGGTTGATGTATTGCTTCATCATCTCCTGCTCCTTGCCTTGTCTGAGCTCCATGGTGGAGGGGATGGTTTGTGAGGCCAAGAGAAGAAGGGGACGGTGGTGAGTAGGTGGAGTCCAGGTGAAAGGCTTCCACCTTCACGATCAAACTGTGCTATTAACCCTGAGCCCTCAGGGGACAGCCATGAGGAGCAAGACTTCCGAGTTGTGGGTGGCCTAGGCTGGGGCTCCTCTGGTTACAGCATGTGTGTCTCTCCCTCCAGGGCCACTTTGGGAAGGTCGAGCTCTGCAGGTATGACCCCGAGGGGGACAATACAGGGGAACAGGTGGCTGTCAAGTCCCTGAAGCCCGAGAGTGGAGGTAACCACATAGCAGATCTGAAGAAGGAAATAGAAATCTTAAGGAACCTCTATCACGAGAACATTGTGAAGTACAAAGGGATCTGCACAGAAGATGGTACGTGGGGTCCAGCTGGGTCAAAGACACAGTGACCGTAAGGCCACAGAGGTAGTGTAGAGCGGGCAGCCTTCAGCCCTGTCGGGGCCCTCTGAACAACCCTGTCGTGGGCCAGCTGATATTCCCATGTCCTCAAGGCTTGCAGGTTGTCTACACTGTCAAATACCTCAGCAGTAGCGGGGATCTTGGGGAAGCCACCCAGCCTCCCTCCTGCTGGGAGAAGGTTCATACACCCACACTAAGGACTGGATTTAACTCACCCATCCAGCCACACCTCTGCCATGCGAGATTGGTACCCACTTCACCCCCTTTCCTGGTTCTGTTCCAACACTAGCCAGGGCATCTCATCCTTTCATTGTCTAGTTGTCTAAATCAACGTGACAAATAGTATTTACTAATAATTGGATCTTATTTGCGAGCGAGCATACCACTTGTGCATTGTCCCTTAACACTGGGAGCGAAGTGATGCAGTCTGCATCAGTATGAAAAAATTATCACCTGCCTAGTGGCTTCCAGAACACTGCCACCTCAGTGAGTGCTGACATGGCTGACAGAAGTGCAGGAGTGTCCCTGTCTGCTGTTGCTGTTGAGCTTCAACGAGCCCGTGGTCAAGGGGCAAAGCTGAAACTGCCCCCATCTCCCAACCCTGTGCCCTTCTTCTCCCCCAGTTCCTGCATTTGACAGCCCCCTGTTGACAGTCTTTTTTCCAAACAGGAGGAAATGGAATTAAGCTCATCATGGAATTCTTGCCTTCGGGAAGCCTTAAGGAATATCTTCCAAAGAATAAGAACAAAATTAACCTCAAACAGCAGCTAAAATATGCCGTTCAGATCTGTAAGGTAAAAAAAAAAAAAAAGATAGCATGCGAAAGTAGAAACTCAGGTTCTCTGCCCTGGGTATATTGGTCAGTCATCAGACTGCAGGTGGGAACCTTGCGATCACTATACTGAGTTGATTTGGCTTTGCATTATTTGGATGAAAAATGTGTTAGTTCTGGCTGCTTTATATGTATTTTAAAAAACAGTTGTTATTCTTGCATAAACATGAAAATGAGCAAAACTGTCAGTGATATGTGAATGAGATGGCATTTCTGGTTTTTATTCCGAAGTGACTTCAGCGATGTGCCTGACCCTGCTTCTCTCCTTCAGGGAATGGACTACTTGGGCTCTCGGCAGTACGTTCACCGGGACTTAGCCGCAAGAAATGTTCTGGTGGAGAGTGAGCACCAAGTCAAAATTGGAGACTTTGGCTTAACCAAAGCCATTGAAACCGATAAGGAGTACTACACCGTCAAGGATGACCGCGACAGTCCAGTGTTTTGGTAACTGAATCAAACAAAACTTTACGGGGTTTACATTGTCTTGAGAGATTCTTTCTGGCTATGTTAATGTATTTTTTAAAAAATAATTGCTCATTTAATTCTATTTATTCATTCATTAAGTTTAATTTGATGAGAGAGAGAGAGAGAAAGTAAGCCACCAGGTCTGGGACTTGAACCATGGTCAGCCATATGGGAGTCTAGCGCCTTAACCACCACACCACCTGCTGGTCCCCTTTGTTTTTTGGAGGGATTTTCTTGGAGACGTTTTTGCTACAGGGCGTGTGCTCTCCCCAGAAAGAGAGAGAGAGACAGAAAGCAGAAATCCCCCCTAGTGGGGATGGCCACACTGCAGTCCCTTCTTCTCCATTCTCCTCGGTCGGGGTCTTGGGCACACACATACACACATGCCTGGTGTGAGTTTAAGCTACCAGGTCCAGGAGTCAAACCGCGGTTGACTACATGGGAGTTCAGCGACATAGCCATTATGCTAACTGCTGGTCCTGCTGGTCCTCTATGTTAATGTCTCTTATTCTGCTGGCCTGAGTCAAGGTTAGAGAAGATTTAGAACAGTCAGAATTGATTGATACTTACCTTCAAGAAACATCTTTTATGCTATTGCACTGAAAGCAGCCTGTTTAAATGCCCGAACTTCGTGTGAGACCACCTTCCAGGGAATGGGAGAAATCTAACCAGCTTAGCACCTCCAGCTTCATCAAACTGTGAACAGGTGGAAGAACAGGCAAGGAGTGACAAAGTGGGCACTGAATAAATTCAGAGACAGAGCAGAGTGAAATCTATGGGAACCTCGACCATCTCTTGTGACTCAGAAGACATCCTGGTTAGAAAATCACATGCCGACTGCCTGGGACAGTGTACCCAGTGAAGAAGCTGCTTAAGTTTTCACTACTCCCCTTACACAATGGAGTAGCACCCCTTAGGTGTAGCCCACATAGACACACACCCAGGTCGCTCCCATCCTAAAGAGCCTAAACCAACATTCATTCATTAAAAGTGGACACACATGTACATATGCCTCTCTCTCAAGGTCCGGCTCTGTGCCGGGTACTGGAGATGTGGTGAACATGCGGGCTGAGTTTCATGAGTGAGGCAGCCAGTTTCATGGAATAAGCACAGAAGGGCTCAAGCTGGGTTTTTGGAAGTCCTGAGTGTTCAGTGAAACCTGATAACTCCATGGGGGTTTGTAGAGATGGCTGGAAGAAAGCACAGTTGGGTCATAAAGAGGTAGGAGATGTGTAGAGGCGGCCCAGTCTGAGTGGTGGAAGCTGAGTTAAGGAGTGAGGACCTCATCCCTGAGCAGTGGGATAAGGAATACATTGGAGGGTGGGACCAGCAGTTAGCGTAATGGCTATATTGCTGGACTTCCACGTAGTCGACCGCGATTCGCGTCCCAGATCCAGTGGCTTAAAACTCACGCCCGGCGCAGTGCGTGTGTGCCCAAGATCCCGAGAGGAGAACGGAGGAGGGATTGCAGCATGGCCATCCCCCGTGGGGGGTGATTTCTCACTTTCTGTCTCTATCTGGTGAGCATGCACACCCTATAGCAAAAACCTCTCCAAAAAAAAAAAAAAAAAAAAAGGAAAACATCAGAGGATATGCAGGTGGAGCTTTTGTTTAAAAGAGGTCACCAGAGAATGGAGGGGAGCAAGTTTGGAGCCAGGAAGTCTGATTCAGCCTCTTCAGCATCCCAGGCCAGAGCCAGTGGTTTTGTAAATGAGAACAGTGACTAGGGTAGTGACAGCAGGATTTAAGAAAAGTAAATATTGAAGAGCTAGGTATGGGCAGTTGTACATCGCTCGTCAAAACATTGGGTTGTCAGGAAAGTCAAGACACATCTTCACACAGACTACCTCATGACTTTCCCGATGAACAGGGAACCCTGGAGTGAGCAGTGGGGCCAGTACTGACCCCTGAGCTGCAGGCCACTCAGCCCTGGGGCAGTCTGCGTCCGGCTGCCTCCATGATGAGAGCATGTGCTCAGTGAAACAGGAACGTGTCTGATTACTTGGGGGCAAATAGTGCTACTCCGGGCCTGTGAAGGATATTGTTCTGCATGTCAGCTGTGTGCCATAGCTGCTTATAGGTGGCTAATGTACACTAATACATCATACTCGTTACTTATTATTACTGTATTAGTAAGACTTAATTATTAAGTTCTAAGAAACAGCAAAAGGTTTTCTTTTCTTTTTTTTCTTCCAGGTATGCTCCAGAATGTTTGATTCAGTGTAAATTTTATATCGCCTCGGACGTCTGGTCTTTCGGAGTGACTCTGCACGAGCTGCTTACCTACTGTGATTCAGATTCTAGTCCCATGGCCGTAAGTCCTGGCTCTTCCCTTGAATCTAGTACTCAATTAAAATGTGTCTGTTCCTCTCGGTTATAAATCTTATTTCAGTGGACTCTACTCCATGTATTATAATGGAAAGTGTCACTTCTCTATTTAGCATGGTTTGTTACTTGACAATTACTTGTGGGTCTCTTAAGTGTTGCTTTCACAAGGAACCCAAAGTTCTATAGGACGATCCTAACCTTTAAGGCTCTTGTCTGTGTGATGAACCAGGGACCATTTCATGGGAGAATGAGAGACCTAAGTGGGGTAGGGCACTGTCTGTGCCTCATTTTTCCCTAAATGAGGTCATTCTCACTGGAACAGGTCTTTGAGCGGCAGGACGACTGGCTGGTAAGAGTCTGAGACATTGATTACTGACTGATCATTGAGAGCGAGGAGTTGGCATTTTCATTCCAAGTTCGCTCTAGAAATTTCACCTTTATCTACTTAGTTTTTGTATAAATATGTGCAAAGTGACACATTTTGTTTGATTTTCTTTTCCATAGTTGTTCCTGAAAATGATAGGCCCAACGCACGGCCAGATGACAGTGACGAGACTCGTGAACACATTAAAAGAAGGAAAGCGTTTGCCTTGTCCTCCTAACTGCACAGATGAGGTACTTACCGGCCACTTCCCACTAATAAAACTCAGCTTTCCTTCCGTTTTCACAGCTTGAGTTATCTAGCAAGTGGTGGGAGTGAGAGTAGGGAAATGGATTTTTTTTTTTTTTTTGAGAGATTTTCACCGTAGGGCGCGTGCGCTCGCCAGACAGACAGAGAGAGACATAGAGACAGAAAGCGAGAAATCACCCCCCAGGGGGAATGGTCACGCCGCAATCCCTTCTCCTCCATTCTCCTCTCGGGATCTTGGGCACGCACGCACACGCGCCCGGCGTGAGTTTTAAGCCACCGGGTCCGGGACATGAACCGCGGTCGACTACGTGGGAGTCCAGCGACATAGCCATTACGCTAACTGCTGGCTCCGGGAAATGGAATTTTAAATAGAAAACTATTGAAAACTTTTCCAAAGGTGATTTTTAGATAAGCTATCTAAGAAATCATTTGTGGGGCAGATGGCAGCTACCAGTTATGTTCAAAGCACAGACTCCTTCGAAACCCTTAGTGTTGATCCCCTTGCCTGCCCCAAGGAGGAACATGTTTTGGTATAGCTGTATCATGACAAGTACACAGAAGTGTGTTTTTTACTAAGTTTATCCCAGTTACTAATAGCATTTTTTGAGAGGTTTTTGCCATAGGGCATGTGTGCTCCCCAGAAAGACAGAGACAGCAAGACAGCGAGAAATCACCCCCCCAGAGGGGATGGCCACGCCGCAATTCCTTCTCCTCTCGGGATCTTGGGCACGCATGCACGCACGCACGCACATGTGTGCAGTATGAGTTTAAGCCACTGGATCGAACTGCAGTCGACTACATGGGAGTCCAGCGACATAGCCATTACACCATCTGCTGGTCCCACTAATAGAGTTTTTAATATAAATTTCTATAAACACTTTAGCCTACTTAAGATATACTAAATAGTATAAGGCCACCAGTGCAGAAAGTTAGTCTGAACCAAGATTCAGCCTCATCTGTGAACTGGTTTACAGTAATGACCTGATCTTTTCCAGTTCAGTCAGCCCAGAGCCCCTCAAATGTTAAATTATTTATATACTTATGTCATTCCTTTCTGTATTTTAATCTCTTCAAGTAACCTTGTTTTCTAACCTTACTTACTAAGAAAAAGTCATTTATAATTTCAAAATTATTTTCTTATTCTTGATATTTCCATAATTTAAGAGACAATTTCTGGGCCCAGCAGGTGGCATAGTGGTTACAGCACTGGACTCCCACATGGCCAACCATGGTTTGGGTCCTGGACCCAGTGGCTTTAAAAATCATGCCAGACATGTGTCCATACATTCCCAAAATCCCAGGAGGAGAATGGAGGAGAAGGGATTGTGGCACGGCCGTCCCACTGGGGGGTGATTTCTCACTTTCCTTCTCATTTCTCTGTCTCTGTCTCTCTGGCAAGCATATGTACCCTATGGCAAAAAACCTTTGGGGGGGGGGAACAGCTACCAAATCTAATGTTCTTTTTGTGTTTTTCTTTTTACAGGTTTATCAACTTATGAGAAAATGCTGGGAATTCCAACCATCCAATCGGACATCCTTTCAGAGCCTTATTGAAGGATTTGAAGCACTTTTAAAATAAGCATGAATAACATTTGAATTTCACTGTTTATCAGGTCTTCTTTCCCCCAAGCCATTTAAGAAAATTTTAATGGAAAAATTTTGTATTCTAAAAAGTCACTCAAATACTTGAGTGTGTACTTTATAAGGCACAGTGGTGCTTGTGTGTAGAGACTTACTCTTTCAATCTGGCACCTGTAACAGTGACAACCAAAAGATGAGAAAGCACTCCTTTAGGAAAGAGCATGCCGTTTTATCTGGGTGGTTGGCCATCCTGATTGCGTTCAACCATGGGATTTTGAAAACAAGAGGAGCTGACCAAAGACAAGATGATTACTTGTCTCAGCTTCTAGTTGATCAGAAATGTCCCTCTGGCATGTTGATTAGAGAGAAAGATGAATGGTCTTAGCAGTGCTCTAAAATGCTCTCAAATTTGGTATCTACATGGTGATAGACCCGTCTTAAAATGGTTAGATGCCAGTTAGTATACTGTTGTTTCTATACAAAAATGAGTGTATTCCTGTCACCAGTTAGGACTTCAACCTTGAGTTGTTTCTCCAGAGACTTAGCTCCTGTTCCCTTGGGTGACCACTGGTACCCATTTTTGAGAAAACTGGTTATACGCAGGGGGACAGCTGGGGAATAGCTACTTTGCTGCATGTTAATTCTTGAGAACTAAGTCTTGCCAGTGCTTTCCTAAGCAGTGTACCTTTCATCAGAACCAATTCCCGGAACCCAGATGCTATTCCACATGCTTTTCCAGACGTCAGTGTATATCCTTTTATAACGCTGCCACTTCGGGGCAAGGTGTTCCAGCGCTGCTTTTGGATGCTGAATGTGCCACATCCATTGCACTGTTCCTAGAGTGTGTTTCATACTCCCCGCCCATCTACGAGGGCCGATCATTATTTGACCATCACCCTGTGGTGCAAAACTTGAAAGACCAGCCCCAGCTAGAGGCACTGTGGAGTTCAGGATCCACTAGACAGTTTGCAGGTTGCTGGGAGGTAGCTAGGTAATCCCGAGTGATCTCCGATTCAGTGTGAACCATAAAGATCATTACGCCCAGGACTCTGAAGAACCTTTGTTCATGCTGTCTAGTATCGTTCAGTAGTGTTCCTTTTCACCTTTGAGCCCAAAAGTGAGTTCAGGATTGATTCCATGGCAACCACAGCAACTTGCCATTTGTTCAACAGCCCATCAGCAAGGTCTCTGTCTGCGTGAAACCTGTGGCCACTCTGTATGCACTTTGTTTACTCTTTATACAAATAAATATACTAAAAATGGTACATGCATAAGCCTTTTAATATAAGACTTCATTTTCAAAGCATTTCAAACAATTCACTTACATAGAAAAATAACAGTATAGTCTTGTGGGGAGGGTTAATAACGGTCCTCACGACTAAAACCATCTACTTGTATTTCTTGGTTACATTCCATAATAACGGGGCACAGGCCGGTACGGATGGCAAATCGCCATATTCCAAAACACCTGTGTTTTAGTCCTTTCAGCCTTTTCTTTCACACTGTGGCTCTGATATAAAGTCACCGTCTTTCCTTTCTTCTGTGTGCATGGTGGCGGAGGCGGGGCAAAACGCAATAGGAAAACAGGGAGGAGGAATACAGAGCATGGAGAAGCCGTTCGTCATCTGCCGTGTAACTGAGCGAGGCCTCAACCTCGTCGGTTATGTTTAGGTAGTATACTTGAAAATCATCCTGGTTAAACTTCCTAGCTGTCACCTTCCAGCAGAAGCTAGTACACGCAATAAATTAGACCAAGTAAAATTCTTTACAAAGCATACAACAAATGTATCAATTCTTATGTCCTAATTAGAACAGGATATCTATATCCTAGTCAAAAAAATAAGTCCCTAAAAATGATATGATCTGGTTTCAAAGGGCTAGGATCATATCATAAACCTCCAACTCACATCATCCTTTAGTCTAATAACAATGAACAAACTTAGACACTTCTAGATGGCAAAGTTTCTCATGCATTTAATACCAAGGTCTTCAGGACATGGTGGCAAAAGTCATAAAGCAATAAAGACAAAAATATTTTCAGAAGTTAAATAGCTGGTTATTTTCCACCTGACAAACTACCAAAGAGTGACAGAAAAAGGGGGGTTCAAAATGGGTATAAATACTGGTACTCTGTAAGACTCCTTCAGAAAGGGCAGTGCTGGCTGCTTTGTGAGACTGTAGAAATAGGGTATTTGGTGATGACCGTAGGCCCTGTTCTAGCAATGCGATCATTAGTCTATCCTATAAGATACAAAAAACTGTTCTTTACCACTGACAAGTCTGTCTCAAAGGTTAATGGTCTCTTTTAGATGAAGTAAAAAAATAGGGAATTAGTGCTATCAGATCAGGGGTCAGCAAACTTGCTCTGTAAAGGGCCAGACAGTCCGTATTTCAGACTCTGCAGGTTATGTGGTCTCTGTCAAAACTACGCAGTCCTCCACCCTAGCACAAAAGTAGCCACAGTTATATCAATGAATGAATGGGCAGGGCGGCATGCCTATAAAATACTTATTTATAGGCAGTGAAATTAGAATTTCATAGAAATTTCATGTCATAAATTTTCTTTTATCCTGTTTAACAATGTAAACATCATTCTGGGCATGCAGGCAGCATAGCAGGTAGGGGACCAAATTTGCCCTCAGGGTGTAGTTCGCTGACCCCTGAGTTAGAACACCAAAGCTACTTTTCTCAGTATACCTTGCGTTGTTCACGAAGGGTATCGACAGTCAGTAACACCTGGCAAGTAACGCGTCTGTGGTGGTGGACACCTTGGGCCTCTCTGCCCCTCCACTGGTTTACGAATGCGTGGGTGTTCTCCTCTAGAGCATCTTCAGAACATTACCATCACCACTTTGGGTACTTGCCCCCTTGCAGTTCTAGGAAAAAATCCTAAAAATCTATAAATGAGATTGCTTCTAGGGACAGTAAATTGAAATGCACATTGGCTTTTAAGAAACTCATCCTTCTAAGGCGTGGGAAATAAGACCATTCCCCATTTATTGCTTCAATAAATGTTATGTATGGTGTCAAAATGATTCCCAGTCCTACAACAAGGAAGATCGGAAGCTCTGTAGTTTCTACAATGGATTGGAAGTTAGTACTACATTAAGATGCGTCTGATTGTAATGGACAGCATCCTCAATTAATGTCTCTTCTTATTGCTGCTTATTTATTTGGCAATTCTGCCTGCTGCACAACACAGTTCCTGGTGGGGAGTGAGAAACCCGTAATATTTAAAGGATATGGCTAGTCTGAATGAAGTTAAGGCAGCGATGAACAGCAGAGATACTGCAGAGAACCTTAGGAGGGACAGAGAGGGACCTGAACTCAGTATACACGTTTCTTTTTTAAGTAGCTTTCCATGTAATATGCTCCTGTCCCCTGAGAATGCTGGTCAGCAAGTTCCACAGAACCACCTTCTGGGGCGGAGATGAGATAGGATGCACCTCGCTTTTCATTTCTTAAAGATGACACCTGTGAGGGAATCACAACCAATGTTGAAACTGTTTGGTCGTTCAAGACACGAAGCAAACAATTCTACTTCAGATTGGTATAAATACAGAAAAACAGGATAAATATCAAAGCTATCAAAAAATACACAAGTGCGTTAAATCAGGATTTCAAAATATCTATATCGAAATCACCTCTGAAACTTCTGTAGAACCCAAACCAGCTTCTGTGCGTCATCACCCCAACCACCAAGTTTTGGGGGAAAGGACAAGTAAGAACCCTTGCTTCTGCTAATGACACCTAGTTAAACCCCACGGCATCAGAACAGTGATAACAAATGTCCACATATCCACATACTTCGGAGGGAGGAGAGTCACTACGAGATCAAGCTGCATGTTCAGAGGTTCATTCTGCCTGGTAACGGAAGCAGCGTGAATAAAACTGGTAGGTGTAAAAACTGGCAAATGGTGTCAAGGAAATAACCCAGTACATTCTAGAGAGCAATGGAAACTCAAAGCTTTGGTCTCCGAACCAATCACCAGGAAAGCATGTCCTATTAGACTTCCAGGCACCATCCCAGAGGTTCTGATCAACAAGTGGGTTCAATGCTTTCACAAGTGGTCACAGCAACCAATATGATACTCAGGTCACATGCAAAACCCATGATAATTTTTGCTTTTACAAACACGGTGGCCAGCTTGCTGAAGCAGAATTATGGAAACTAATATGAGAACATAGAAATGACTGATAAGGAAAGCTCCTGACAGTGCATAAAGTCTTTGCACATTACAGTGGAAGTTGCAGGATTTGTGGTCATGTTTCTAATGAGTAAGGGAGCATGAGAGGGAGGGGGAGGGTAGCAGGCAGTTTGGACAGGTTCTGGCCCGCTGTGATCTCCCCAGCCTCCTAGTTAGCTAAGACCACAGGTGAACCCACAGCACACACCCTGCCTGGCGGGGCTGGGAACTGAACCTGGCCTCCCATGCAGCCTCAGCCATTGTGCAGCAGCACCCTTCCACTTGTGTCACTGCAGCTAGGCCCATAGTTTTTGTTTTGTTTTGAACCTAAGGCACATGTGCTCACTGCAGAGAGAAAGAGACAGAAGGAAAGTGAGAAATCACCCCACCCCCCACCCCCGGTGGCCATGCTGCAATCCCTTCTCTACATTTCCTCTTGGGATTTTGGGCATGCATGCATGCACACATGCTCAGTGTGATTTCCAAGCCGATGGTCTGGGACTCGAACCATGGTTGGCCCAGTGCCTTAACCTGCATAATAGTTCTTAAACCAACAAAGAACCTCAGAGAGAATGACAAGTTGTTACAGCTCCTTATCAACAGTCCTGTTAGCCAGGGTGAAGATACATGGCTGAAGCCTGCACGCCCGATCTCCCTCCGTGAGGTACTTTACCTCCATGTGCCTCGCTGCTGTGATGGTGCAGTGAAAGCCTTCACATGCCTGCTCAAGGAATGCACCACAAAAGGAAGCGCTGATTGGCCAAGAAGTGGGCTTTAACTCTGTCTCCAGAATGTTTCTGGTGGTCGTGTATGTCTAAGGTTTGCTCTGAAATAACCTGAGGAGGGGACTACATGGGAGTTCAGCGACATAGCCATTGCGCTAACTGCTGGTCCCAGGCATCTTAAGATTACGTCCAAAACTGAAACCCTACCCATCCCCTAAAACCGGTTCTACTCACAGTCCTACCTGTAGCAGTGACAATTCCACTTTTTCTTGGCCAAAATCCTTTGAGTCATCCTTATCTCTCTCTCATCCCCATGTATGCTGCGGGCTCTCCTTCCTAAGACGTCCTGAATTCAGCCACTTCTCACCCCCTCTGCTGCTCCCATCCTGGCCCAAGTCTGCACTGTTTCTACTTGGATTATCTTTAACAGCTTCCCAAACATCTTGTTACACGCCCTATTCATTGTTTAACATGACGGTCGACGGTGTCCTGTTAAACTACAAACAGGACAGCTGTGCCTGTCCGGGGGCTCTCTCTTGGAAAGCCAAAGTCCTTACAAGAGCCTACAAGGCCCTAACCTGTCTGTGTCCACCACCTCCCACCTCGCGGCGACTCCATCGCCTGCTCTCCGCTTTGCCATTCCCCTTCTGCGCTCAAGGTCTCCTTGCTGACTCTCACACTCCAAAGCACGTTTCTGCCTCGGTGCCTTCACGCCTGCCGCTCCCCTAAGGGAAACGCACCAACACGGATATTCCTATAGTGTTCTCCCAAAACTTCTGGTCCTTTCCCAAGGATCAATCTGACAAGGAACCCTTCCTTGACTGTGTATTTAAACTGCAAAGCCTTCCGATTTTCGAGTCCCCACCTCGATTCATTCTCTCTGAAATGATCATGGTTTATTGTACTATTTTTTTTTCCTGTTTTCCCCTAACTTCTCCTTAAATGTAAGTGCACTACAAGGCTTTTTATCTCTCTTGCTCGCTGCTATATCCCTAATGCTTCAATGGTGTCCATCACATAGGAGCCATTCAATAAGTACTGACTGAATAAATGAATACCTATCAAAAAACACTTCCCGAGCCTGCACCTGCAGTTCCTTCAGCCAATGTGTTGTCCCATGGTTTCTGACGTGGCAGACCTGGGCACCAGCATCTCACAAGTGCCTCAGAAAGCAAAGGGTGCCGTGCTTCCTCTACTCCCCCTCTTTCTGCTTCGTAAACTGTTGCACACCAGCCTAATCTTTTGCACATTTACTATGAAACCCATTTTATCACTGTTAGTTGCGATTTTACTTTTAGAATAAAAAAGAAATCACTTACGGTTATTAAATTAAATTTTTAGCTTCATGTAACTATAGATTAATTTCTTTTATTCCATTGGTTTCCAAGTAAATGTAGAAGGAGAGTGTCACAATTTCATTTTTTTTTAAGAGACTTCTGCTACAGGGCGCATGCGCTTGCCAGAAGACAGAGACAGAAAACAAGAAATCACCCCCTGGGGGGATGGCCATGCTGCAGTCCTGTCTCTTCCACTCTCCTCTCCGGATCTTGGGCACACACCCACACATGCCCGGCGTGAGTTTTAAGTCACAGAGTTCAGGACTCAAACTGCAGTCAACTACATGAGAGTCCGGCGACGTAACCATTACGCCATCTGCTGGTCCTCACAATTTCATTTTTTACTGCCAAAAAGGGACACCGTGTCCCCAAAGCTCAGTTTTCAAGCCGTCAGTGGTAGTTAAACTGTGGGCTACTTTTAAAAGCGCTCATGAGCATTCCAGAAAGTAGAATATAACTGTCCCTCAGAGAGACTCCTCTGGGATTAGTGATACCAATAGCGAGTTCTGGCTAGGCTCAACTGTGCCCAGTTCAGTTAAAGACAATTATACTATTACTTCTTTTCTGAATAAGAACGTACTCAGTTACCACATGGCCCTCCAAATACGAAGACGGCTCTTCAGAAAACTCGGCCTCTCCTCAGGACTTCTCAGTCTCACCTCTACCTGCAGCTCACTTCACCTTTCCTTTGTTCGCTCTTTAGTGGAGCCGGACTGATGGAGAACCTGGAATGAGCCACTGCGCTAGCTCCCCTCCAGTCCGAATCAAACCCCTAACTCTTTCATACAGTCTCAGGTTCACCATTTAGGTGTCACATCTACAGAAATAGGAGCTCATTTGAGGATCTCTTCTGCAGTAAACATTTCTAGAATTCTATTCAACTATGTGTTTTTTCCTTTCCTCCTATTGTTAAGGAATGCTTTAAAACCATCATGCTTTATTTTGTGATGTTAGTGATATAATAATAAAATGTCTCTTCATGAATTTATATATAGATTTTTATTTTCATTTTTGCCTCTCAGCTGCCTATCTTTCTTCATATGAAGAAAGGATTCTAACTTTGGATTTAATGATTCATCCTTTAAAAGGTATTGTGCTGCATTAAAAAAAGAAGAAAAGTGAGCCGTGATCACCCCACAAGTTTCAGTGGCCATACCAAGCTGTACAAATTATATATCTTACATTTAAGTATATTTGAAATATATATTTGAAACACTTTTCAAAATTCAAGACACACTAAAACTCTTTGAAAAATTAGACCAACATGTCAAAGTAGAAATTTGAGGCTATATTCAGGTTTATTTATACTGCATACTACTCTTTTACCTATTTCTTGGACACTATAAGGCCAGTTTAACTTGTAACCCAAAGATTTTAAAACAAAAGATGATATTAAATACATTTCAAAATCTTTCCTTAATTCCAGTTTTCACCAAAACTCTTTTTAAAGGCAGGGTCTCACTATATCCTGATCCTCCCGCCTCAGCCCTCTGAGTCACTAGGGTTACATAACCCCGCGACCGGCTGTTAGGAGGGGCGGAATCTAACCCAGGGCACTGAGGTGGCCTCAGGGTCAACCAGTGCAAGCTACCAGGGCTGGGCCCCACATGGTTTATGAGAAGTATTTTCCAAGTTACTGTCTAGGGGTAATATGAAGATAACTTGTGCTCCTATAATTGTAAAAGCATGTTCAGGATTTTCAATATACTTAATATAGTTAGTATTTGTCATGAGATTCTGATCAATGGCAGCCCCCACAAAAACCCACGTTGCATTCATTACATAATGTATTCTTGGCATGGCTGTCTGCATTATGTGTCCACTGGGTGGCAGCATTAGGCTCTCTATGAAGAGAACAAACATCGCCCAGGCCTCTCCATTTTTCACTCAGTTACTCTTCCTCCTCATACCCTCTCATCACAGGCTCTGTGACTGCCTCCCTAGGACTGGCAGGAAGACCTCTGGAGCCAGGGTGCACAGAGCACAAGCGAGTTGACAGCAGTACTGTCTTATTGCAGGCCAAGTCTTTCAAAGGGAAAACCCAAGTCACAATGCAGATGGTCACATCAAACAATTCATGTCATTGAAAAACCAATGACTGTGTCACACCAAAAAGTTGGCCTAAGATAAATTTTGACCTCTTTTACCTACTTTTAATAAAAGGAGGGAGGGAAATGTTTTGGGTTTTGATATTATAATTAGATGTTGGTTTTATGGATTTAGTAAATATTTAATAAACTGACCCAAAGTCTTCTTTTTTTAAGCCATCTGACATAGATGAACCATTTATCTTTACTGAATCAGATACTTGTACATTAAAATGAACAGGACTATGTAGCTCACTATAATGCTGGTATCATCTTTAGAGTATATACTACAAACTAAAACGACTACACTCATTTCTGATATAACTTTGTTTTTAAGAGCGATTTTTGCTATAGGGTGCATGCACTCACTGGAAAAACAGAAAGTGAGAAACCCCCTCCCAGGAGGTTGGCCATGCTGCAATCCCTTCTCCTCCATTCTCCTCTCAGTATTTTGGGTACGCACACACATGCACCTGGCATGAGTTTTAAGCCACCAGGTCTGGGACTCAAACCGTGGATGTCTATGTGGGAGTCCAGCGACATAACCATGATGCCATGGGCCGGTGCCCTGATATAAGTTTTCTAATGACAGTTCAAACACTTCAGATGTACAGTTTTTGAGAAAAAAAAAATAACATAGCCCCATGGCAATTCTAATAAATTGCTGTAATTAATTAGAGACAGACCAGTACTTCATGCCTTTCTATGGCTGAACTATATTCCATTGTATGGATACTCTAAACCTGTGGCTCATCAATTGATAGGCATTTGGCTCTTATGAATAATGCTGCTATGAAAATCCACATATAGATTTGTGTGTGGACATGTGTTCAGTTCTCATGGGTATATACCTAAGAGTCGGATTCCGGGGCTACATGGTAACTCTGTGTTGAAGATTTTGAGGAACTGCCAAACTGTTTCACCACCGCACATTCCCACCAACACTGTGTAAGGGCATTTCAGTTTCTCCATACCCTCACCGATACTTGTTAAGGTCTGTTTTTCTTAGTCTTTGTTCTTTCTCTTCCTTGGACTGGATCATCTCACCTAAACCTATATTCCAAGTTGGTTGATTCTTCTGCTTGTTCAAATCTGCTGCTATGCCTTAGTAAATTTTTCCTTTATTATTATACTTTTCCAATCCAGAATTTCTATTTCATTTTTTCTTGTCATTTATATCTCTTTATTGATATTGTCTATTTGGTGAGATATTATTCTCGTACTTTCTTTTAGTTCCTAAAATATAGTTTCCTTTAATCCTTTGAACAGAATTTAAAATCTTTACCTAGTATGTCCTATGTCTGGGCTTCCTATGAACATTTTCTATTAATTGCTTTTTTTCCCCCGGTTTAAGGACCGCATTTACTTCTTTGTGTGTCTCATGACTGTCTGTTGAAAACTCATCACTTAAAATAACACGACATGACAACTCAGGGAATCAGATTCTACCCCTTATCAAGTTTTGTTGTTATTGCTGTTTCCTGTGTACTGCCTTTCTTGAACTAATTATGCAATGTTTGTATTCTTTTTTGTTGTGACCACTGTGAACTCGAGGAGCTTAGTGGTCAGCTAATGAGTGAACAGAACATTCCAGAAGAAGTGAAATCAGTGAGTCTCGCAGACATTGCAGAGGGGCTGTGCGTGTTGTGCCGTGCCTGCTGCACAGCCAGGCCAACAGCTCTGCCTTAGCTCTCGCATCTTGCTTGTGCAGTCTCAAGGGCAGCCAGCAGTGAGCACACAGGGCCTTCTCCAGTCTTTTCTGAACTGCACACAGTCCTACACACACACACGGCCTGTAAGATTTCCAGAGATTTGTCCCCTCTGTTGGTATGTGCTGAGACACTATGCTCAAGTTCAATTTTTAGTCTGACCCAGAGGCTGGGTGCAGTGGCATGCACCAAAGTGACTTGGGGAGGCTAAGGGAGGAGGATCACAAGCTTAAGGCTGGCCTGGACACACAGCGAGACCCTGTTTCCAAAGAGCCAGGTAGCACACGCTGCCACAGTCTTCCCAGTTGGCAGGCTGAGGCAGGACGATTGCAACCTCATGAGACCCTGTCTTTAAAATTCAAAAATCATAGTAATATCAAATGCAAACTGGTACTAAACCATCTCTGAAACAGGTTTCAAAATTTCAAATGGTAAGCAAAAAACAGATCAGTGCAATTTTGCATTTCTAGGATAATATTACAGGAATCACAATTTCAGTTTCTGTGAATTTGACATACAGTTGGACTAATTTTTCTATACATCCTTAAGCCTGAGAATTATTTACCTGTGCATAATCGCCAAAAGATGGAGAGTAGGCAATGCACTTCTCCAACGCATGTTGTGGTTCTTTTCCCTGAGAGATTGCATCCAGAATGTTGCCTGTAATTCCAGTCTTACGTAGAGTGGTTTTACTTACAGGGGCTAAAGGCAGAATCAACAGATCTCTTTTACTTAGGTTGCTTTATTATAAATTATAAACACAGTCTTCTAAAACTCATTAAAGCAGCATATTTTCAAAGAGAACATAAATTTTAGTTTGCTAATATGTATCTATATTTCCTCCAGGGGAAATTATATAATGAGTCATCAGAAAAGTCATGATGTATTTTTTCTATGCAAAAATGTACCATGACTTTTCCAATGACCCAATATAATAGTGTATGATATTGTTTCCTTCATTTGAAACAACTGAAAATGAACGTTTGCCTTATGGGTAAATAATTTTGATGGGAACCTTTAATTTGCCACCGAGTACATGTGCTCACTAGAGAGAAAGAGACAGACAGAGAGGGAGAGGGAGAAGGCACCCACCGCCCCAACAGAGCATAGTAAAACTCCAGTCCCTCTCTATTTCCTGTCAGGATGTGGGGCATGCGAGCACACACATCTGGCATGTTTTTCAAGCTGTAGGATTTGAAATTCAAATAGCATAGGTGGCCATGTGGGATCCAGCTGCCTGAACCACCAGGCTATGGAGCCAGTTGTTCATGGGAACATTTTAAAATATATATGTCTAATTTCTAAAACATGGTGTACTAAATGCAAATGAAGCATTCTTATTAATGCAGTAGTTTTCACCAATAATTTTTAGACCAGATCAATGTATAGTAGGCATACTAGAAGCATATTTAGTTATTTTTCTGGCTTTTTAAAAGAAACTATAAATTAATGTTTGAGTTCAAGATGATACTTCATAAAATGCAGACGATGTATATTAAAAAATTATATATCATTTTTTAAATTCAATCTTCTTATTCTTTCCAGAGGTAACAACTTCATTTATCGTCCCAGATTTACTTTAAGCATATACACAGAAAAATATGTGCATGTAG